TCTCTCGCTCTCTCTCTCTCTCTCTCTCTCTCTCTCTCTCTCTCTCTCTCTAGTCCTTATTATTTGTTTGTTTGGTTGAATATTTGCATTTCATTTTGGCAACAACAACAACAACAAGAATCAAGAAGAAGAATGCATCTTTTTTTACTTTCTTTTTCTTTTTCTTTACTTTACTTTCAAGATGACATTGTTTATTTTACCAAGATCGTCGTTGTTGTTCAATAATAATAATAATGATATCAGATTATATTTGGGCCAAGCCTAACATTATTTTTTACATAACAAACATATTTCGGTATATGATTTATGTGTGACGGTTTCTACAGGGATGCTAAAATCAAGTGTGAAAATAGTCATTGAGTGTAAATAGTAAAATAATATTTATTCGTCTTTTGAACTCCTTTATTGACAATCAAACATCAAAAGAAGTAAAGAAGAAAAAGAAAAAAAATTCTTGGAAATGAAATGAATCAAAGATTCGTTTTTTGCTTCGTTTTTTTTTTGGATTGCCACTTTGCCATTGAGAAGTAAAATTCACTATTCATATCGAAATGTTATATCGATTTCTTTGAATTTATTCTGTTCACTCAATCACTCACTCACTAACTTTTTTTTTCAGATTCATATTGATTTCTTCAAATATTGATTTCACTAAATATTGGTTCAACAACAACCACCAATGAGAAAAAAAATGCCAAAAATGTCAATCCTAATCAGAAGGAAAACAACAGAAGAAGAAGAAGAAAAAAATCATAACAATCATTACATGCATTATGATCGTATTTATTTCATTTCATTCATTTCATTATGAAATTGTGTCAAAACAGAACAGCAAAAAAAACTTCTGAAAAAATTTTCGTAAAAAAAAACAAAAAAATTCTGTTTATAAAGAATCGCAGAATATTTAGCGGGTGAAATTGATTCTGGATTGGAAATTGGAAACAAAACAAAACAAAAATTCTTGGATAATCATTATTATTTAATTTGCACAAAAAAACAAAACAAGAGAATTCCAATTTCAAAATTCCAATCTGCATTTTTTGGAATCTTCCATGGAAAACAAAAAAATTATGAAAAACAAAAAATTGTTTTCGGAATGTTTTTCTCCAAACAAAACAAAACGAAAAAAAAACAATAAAAATGAATTTATTAATGCAAAACAGCAGCAGCAAAATATTTATTTATTCTTTTGGAAAAAATTTCATTTCAATTTCAATTTCAATTGAAATTCATTGTTCATTTTTTTGCAAAATGACAAAAATATTATTCATTTTTTTTCCCTTACCATTATCATTATCGTTGTCCATCGTCGTTGTTGTTTCTGTTTTTTTGTTGTCGAAAACAAAAACAGATTCATGACTATAATGATAATGGACCAAAAGATTTTTCTCTGTTTCATCATTATCATTATCATCATCATTCTTGTATCGTTTTTTTTCTCATTCAGTTTGTTTTCGGTTGTTGTTCAATTTCAATTCTTGCATAACGAATTATAAACACACACACACACACACACACACGCTATAAATTTCAAGTTTCCATTTTTATTTCGATTCTCTCTCCCTTTGTGTGTATTTACGTGTTTAGAAAAATTGATGATGATGCCATATATGTTTAGTAGTAAGAGAGTAAATAATGGTGTATGTAATACAGAATATTCTTTACGTTCATTAACATTCATATATATTATGAAGCAAAAAAAAAAACAAAAATCTATTTATTTTGCAATTTTTTCTTGGATTTTTATTTAGTTTTTTCGGGTTTTTTCGATTGTTTTTTCCCGGTTTGGTTTTTCTGAT